CCCTCCTCCCTCCTCCCTCCTCCACTACCTCCCCTCCTCCCTCCTTCCTCCTCCCTCTTCCACTACTCCCCTCCTCCCTCCTCCCTTTTCCATCCCCCCTTCCCCTTCCCTCTTCCCTCCGTTCATCCTCTCTCTTGCATCCTCTCTCGTTCCCTCCTCCCTCCTCCATACTCCCTCCTCCCTATTCTTTCTGATCATCGTCCTTGTTCCTTGTCCCTTATTTTTCACCCTCTCCTCCTCCTCCCTTCCTCCCCTCTCACTCCTCACCCTCCCCGCAGGAGGGCAGCGCTACCATTCCGCTCGTCCGTCCAGACTTCTTCCGCAGCGACACAGACCTCTGCTTCATCCTCTCCTGGGGGGGCGCCGGCTCCGCCAACCTGCACATGGAGACGCCAGGGAGGAACGTGCGGGTGGAAGAGGCGGAGACGTTCCCTGGCTCGGATAAGAGCATGAGAATGATCGGCAAGAACCCCCGTAGCTGCCTCCTCCGTGCCCCGCTGGAGGACGACTGCCCTTGGCTGTCAGATTCCGGGAGCAGGAGAACCAACAGGGCGATCGTGTCGGCGGGAGGGAGCATGGAGCACTGGAACATGCAACTCACGCTCTTCTCCAAGGAGGGAGTCGTACAATCCTTCCTGCCTTCCAAGTCCAGCTCGCACATCAAGAGCCCGACGGTCTACTGGGACGTCTGCAGCTTCGGAAGGGGAGCGTGTCGACGATCAACAACGTGGCAGGACAGGACCCGGCGGGAGGGAGGCTGGTGACAGTCAAGATCAACCCGGCGAGGAGCGACTCCGACTTGACCCCGTCGGCTCAAGTGAGGGAGGAGGACGAGCAAGAGGAGGAGGAGGAGGGGGAGGTGCTGGTGGTGGAACAAGCGGAGTTAAGAGAGAGGGAGAGGGAGAGGGAGAGGGAGGAAAGTGGAGAGGAGAGGAACAAGAGGAGGTTTTGTTCTCATCGCTGTCCTCGCAGGTGTCCGTGAGGAGTATGGACGAGACTGTGCCTCTGAGGATCTTCCCTGCCCCCCTCACGCCTGACCATGTAAGTGAAGATGAGCTATGGTTGCTCTGCTGACCTCCCTTTTCTCTTCTTTCTCTGCCTCCTCCTCCTCCTCCTCCTCCTCCTCCTCCTCCTCCTCCTCCTCCTTCATCCCTCCTTCTCTTCCTCTTCTGCATCTTCTTACAGCCCGAGTACACGCGGCCCAACGAGTATCGATTCTTCTGCGAGTGGGGCAAGTACGAGGTAGAGGTCAAGGACGAGAAATGTCACTCTCCCGCCCTCTACTCCGACCTCCTCGTCTCTAATCAGATCCAGGTAGATCTCCTCCTCCTCCTCCTCCTCCTCCTCGTCGTCGTCGTCGTGGTCACTTCCTCCTCGTCTCCTCTTTCTTCCTCCTCTTCCTCTCCTCCTCCTCCTCCTCCTCTTCCACTGATTCGTTTCATCTCATTCCTGTTCCCTCCCTCTAGCCTAGCGCCAGTTTCTGCATGGCGGCGATCAGCGACCTGGATGCCAAGCAAGTCTTCATCACGCTCTCCTGGGCCTCCTCTCCCAAGGACCTAGACCTCTGCCTCTGCAACCAGGTCCTCCTCCTCCTCCTCCTCCTCCTCCTCCTCATCATC